ATAAAGCACAAAAGGAACTGCGAGTTTTGGATCAGGGGTACAGATAAAGGTATCTTGGATAATCCACTGCACTCACTCCCTGCCAACACCACGTGCTTGTACCACCTCCAAGGGATCGACACGTCCGTATCGCCTTCGCCGATTCCCTTCCGGCCGATATCCAGGTACCCTGAGGGAATTTGGAGACCGACCAGGCTACTGTTTCCACCGCCTCGGTACAGGGTATGGCTATCGGTTACCAAATTCCACGTGGCGGGTTCGAAGGACTTGCAAAAACAAGACCAGGAAATGTGCAGAAGTAGCTTGAAAGTTTGGGATGGACAAGTATGGACCGGAACTAATTGCAACGACTTATTCTGGTAAGCCGACACTTCCACTCTATTACAAACTTTACGTATTTCAACAGCAGCAAGGATAAGTTGAAAAACGTCCCGAAAACGAGCATGTCAGGGCCCTTAGGGCTCGGAAAAAACGTGACCCTTCTAGCGAGATATTGTCGAGAACATATAGCGAGAACGTGCGATCATTCCATGTTAGCAAATACCACCCGGTTTCCACGTCCGTGTTCATTAAGCGAGAGTTTCCTATCCTCCGGAGATAGTCTCACGTTAGAATTACAAGTGTCCGACTCGACGGCGTTGAGGTATAGGAAACTTAACGCGATCATTTCTGATTCTTTCCTTGCAGGCCGGTACAATTTCGCGCCTTGTACGAGTTCGTCGATTTGCATCAAGACGGCGAGCCTTACGGAATTGGAGCGTGTTCGAGGAAATTTACTACTCCCCTACAAAATACGCAGCAGAAGTTTCAGGCGCCACGCGATATATTCCTTTACGGGCGAGGCGGAGCGAAAAATTTAAGGTATGTGTTTACGTAGAATTTGTGCGCTAACTCCCACGATTTGTGCGTCAATACTAAGGAAAATACAAATTTTGACTTTAACGAGCGCTTTTCAGAGGATTAAAGGCTTTTGAAAGGAATAGGGAGCTTTCCAAACGCTTTTCAGCGCCTCTCAAAGCAATCTGTCATTCCATTACTTCGAAAATGGGGGGAAAAGACTTTATAATACTACAATCTAAAAAGGGCATTAAAGGCCGAGCCACACAGGGTGCGGTCTGCGATATTTGTATGCTATGTTAAGGCTCTGCCACACAGAAAACAGTTTGCGATACTTGTATTCTAGTAAACGCGGTCCGAAACTTCTCTTTTGGACAGGTACAATGCATTTTTCGAGGCATTTACGTAACAGATCTCGCAGACCGCGCTTTGTGTGGCAGGACCTTAAAATCACAGGAAATGGGTCTAAAACTGACTCTGTAAGGGAACATAGAATGCTCCCCAAAAAAAAAACCAAAAAATCTCCGGAAGCGCTAAACGGTTTCCACAACATTTTAAGTGGTTACAAAGTTTCAAGGGTTTTCTAATGCAATCGTAAGCTGTTTGAGTCTACTGTACACTTTTCAAGACCGTTTTATCCATTTTTTGCTTCAGTTTTTAGGCCATTCTGGGCCCATTCCAGAACGTATCTCTGAACATTTGCAGACAGTGGCGTACTTTCGCATGGACACGGGGGGCAGCATTTTTTGAAAACTAGGTCATATTACATATTATTAAAGAGTACACTTTTAGCGCATTTTTCAACATAGATGGATTGTAGCCACTTTCTCTGTCCGCCCGTCCGTCCGAGTCCTTAACTACTCCTACAGTTTTCAAGATAATTAATCGGTTCTCTGGCACCTGAGCGAACAGAAATCTTGGAGATTACGTGCATATGTGCACTCTGTTCAATGTCAACTTTTTTATTTACGAAAATGGTTTTTTGATATTTTAACCACAAATACTTCTAGTAAAGGAAACATATCCTATGCAGTAAAAATCAAGTATATAGTTATTACTGTGTGCCCCACGTTGGGCGCCAAATGAAAATGCTGCGGACTATGGCACCCATAAAACACCTGTCCAGCTAACTTTAAATTTTTGCTTGTCTGGCATTCACTATAAAAAAATCCTTGACTTCCAACTTTAATAATTGGGAAGAATTCCTCGAAGAATTCCAACGAAGTAGCTAAACAAAAATTAATTTAACGGGTCCGTTAACTTGGCCCCCCCACTGAGAGATTTCATAGTCGTATTATTTTGAAATGAATGCGCTCGTTATGCGCTCATATGCGCCACCGATAATAACTTTTGCGCCATTATCGTTTTTTAGAAATCCGAAAAAACATTTGGGGGGGGGGGCCAAGTGAACGTAGCCCCCCCAGTACGTATTTTGTCCCTTGTAACTAGGTCACCTGATACATTTGGTTATGCGCTCAATTGCGCCACTTGAATTATAGCTAGCGCCATTACGGTCAAGCCGTGACAAATTTTTAAAGAGTGGGGGGGGGCAACTTAACGTTTTTAAAAGTTACTTTTTTTTAACATCTTTTCATACGAAATTGTACTCTCAGGTATGCGCTGAAATGCGCCGTGAAAAGATATCTTTACGCCAAATTTTTAAAAACCTAACTATTTTACTTTCCCAGAATCGTTTAACTAAAGCTTCCAAAAAAACACCCTGTATAGTGTTTCTGAAACACTATAATGGTGCCAAGATTTTTGCTTACGAAATGAAAGGTACGATGTAGTAGAAAAAACATGTTAAAAAACGTAACTTTTGAAAACGTTAAGTTAGCCCCCCCCCCCACTTTTTAAAAATTGTTTATGGCTTAATCGTAATGGCGCTAGCTTTAATTCAAGTGGCGCAATTGAGCTCATAACCAGATGTATCAAGTGGCACAAATACCGGTAGCAAAATGCGTTATGGGGGATTCCGTTCACTTGCCCCCCCCTCCCCCCAAATATATTTAAGGATATCCAAAAAACAATAATGGCGCAAAGATATCTTTTGACGGCGCATTTCAGCGCATACCTGAGAGTACAATTTCGTATGAAAAGATGTTAAAAAAAGTAACTTTTTAAAACGTTAAGTTGGCCCCCCCACTTTTTGAAAATTTGTCACGGCTTAACCGTAATGGCGCTAGCTTTAATTCAAGTGGCGCAATTGAGCGCATAACCAAATGTATCAGGTGACCTAGTTACAAGGGACAAAATACGTACTGGGGGGGGCTACGTTCACTTGCCCCCCCCCAATGTTTTTTCGGATTTCTAAAAAACGATAATGGCGCAAGAGTTATTATCGGTGGCGCATATGAGCGCATAACGAGCGCATTCATTTCAAAATAATACGACTATCAAATCTCTCAGTGGGGGGGCCAAGTTAACGGACCCCATTTTGGATTTTGTAGCACGAAAAGGCACTTACCATTTCATCCAGGCTCTTCAGATCGTTAGTGACAATCTGCGGCAACGGCCCGTACATCAGCACGGGTTGCTCGTCCTCGATCTCACTGTCGCTCTCGTCGTCCAAATCGCCGTCCTGACTTTCGAGACCCTCCGACAGGTCCATACTCAAACCCATCTTCCGCTGATCGGCCGCGATCTCCCTATCGATCTGCCGCTCCATCTGGATCAGCATCGGCGCCAGCATGCCGAACCTGATCAAAATTTCGTATCAAAAACGGACAGCCACAAAGAAAAAAGTATACCTGGCACCCCGTCTCGCCACCTCCAAAAGGCACAAAATCACGTGTTTCTCGTTCTTGCGTAAAATTAGGTCGTCCGTTTCGAAAAGTAGGCACTCGATTATCTTCAGCGACTGCCGACACCAGTGGATGAAATTGCTGACGTTATCCCTGCAATTATTTAGGGGCGCGATTAAATTAGCGCTAACGGGGGGCGGGGGCGTGCTTACCTCGCGAAAAACGTGCCCGCTTTCGCGGTCGAAAAAAACTTCACGTCGACGATGTCGATGAGCTGCTGGGCCTGGGCCAGAGATCCGGTCACCGATCGGGTCATCAGCTTGCGGGCCTGTTTTTTCTGCACGTACTCGGTCGCCTGAGCTTTGACCGCGTTGGCGTGCTGTAACAAAAAATTGGATTGTAAAAGTTGGAAGCTTATTAGTGCCGTCATTAAAACGCCCGAGAATTTTTATGACAGTTTACTTTTACTACTGTGTCTCTAAATTTGGTGGTTATCAAGGAGTCATATTTATTAACTCGGACACTATAAATAAGTCGATAATTGCTGGCTTTTTTTGGCGATACGGGTTAGCTACCGATAATGCTAACGAGATTTTAAAAGTCAAGCCTTTTTCGAATTAATTTTACCTGAACGCTTCAGGACCAATCACCACAGACCAACCATCTCATTAAAAACGGCAAGAGCCAATTGCTCGCAGTGCGATATTCCATATTTGATTTTCTAGAGTGCTTTCAAATTCTTCTCTCAAAATCTCAGAGAAGACCAAGGAAAAGCTAATGAGGTTCTTTAAAGGCGATTGAAAAAATCAAAAACCTTAGCGTTCCAGGCTTTTCTAGCTCATTTCAAAAATTATTTAGCCTTTATCTAACAGTCTGAGCCGAAAGAGTTTTGAGTACTTTCAAAAATGACTACTGTAAATTATCGAGTTAGTAGATGTATGTCAAAAACTGTCAATAAAAATTAAGCTTCAGTCTTGTATCCTTTTTGTAAATATAAGCTTGTAGAAAGAAATATTGTGGTTGGTTAAACTCTGTATTTCTAAAAGAATATTTCAATTCACCATCCACTTTAGGTTTATTCCTTACTTTTTTTAGCAAATTACCAATGAAGCGATGTACCCATCCAAATATCTTGACATGTGTCATGTACAATTTTGCACAGTCAATGACATACTGACTCCTACATTTTCTGTCTTTTTCAATTCAGAATTTACTAAATCTTCAGCAACTTCTTCATTAGACCTAGGCCAGCTGTCACTTGAACTTTTTAACCACTCCGGTCCCTCCCACCATCTTTTCTCTAAAAGATGAGTCGGTAAGCAGCCTTTTGAAGGTAAGTCAGCTGGGTTCATGTTTCCGGGAACATGACGCCACTGTGTAGGATCAGTCAAATGTCGGATTTCTTTCACTCTGTTCCCAATGTATTGACCCCACATGTTGTCTTTCCTTATCCAGGCTAATGCAGTACTTGAATCAGACCAAAAAATAGTAAATATATCCTCAGCTTTTAATCCTTTTTTCACAGAAACAGCCAATCTTGTACCAATTAAGCAGCCTTGGAATTGTTATCCTCTTAATCGGGGCAACTCGAGACTTAGCAGAAATCAGTTGTATTGAAACTCCTCCCACATGTTCCACGCGGAGAAAAATCACAGCACCATACGCCAAACCACTTGCATCCGTAAAAACGTGAAATGGCCATTTACTTCGATCAAATTCACCTCCAGTTACACATCTAGGAATTCTGACTTGACTTAACAAATGTAGTTGTTCATACCATTCCGTAAATTTATTTTTCTCTTCGGTTGGGACAGGTTCCTTCCAATTCAATTTGTTAATGAATGTCTTCTGAAGTAAGACTTTCACTGGAAGCACAGCTGGACAGACAATACCAATAGGATCAAAAACTTGATGGGCAATAGACAGCATAACTTTCTTTGTGATAATTTCAGGTAAGGTAGGGAGTTTCACATCAACATACAATTCATCACAAACTCGATCCCACTGCATTCCTAGTACTGAAATCACATGACTATTCTTGTCTTCCATCTCATCTACATTTGACATCCAAAGTCTCAAGTCCATTCCAGCTTCAGCTAACAATTGAACTGATTTTGTTCGAAAATTCTTGTACTCCTCCACGGTATTTTCAGAACTGACACAGTTGTCCACGTATAAAGAATTATACAGTTTCTGGGCAATGTCTTTGTTTTCATTCTGAACATTTACCAAATGAAATTCTAAGACTGCTCCAAGGATAAAGGGACTACAATTCGTACCAAACATGACACGTTTGTGACGGTATTCTACTACGTGTTGTTTGGATTTATCTTTCCACCAAAGAAATCTCATACAATCTCTATCTTGTTCATTCACTTCAATCATCTGGATAGCTTTGCGAATATCAGAAACAAATCCCACTTTCTTTTCTCGAAACAGTAACAACATATCAGGAATCATTTTGATAAAGTTATTTCCTTTCTTAAGACACTCGTTCAATGAAGGTCCTTTTCCAACCTTACATGAGGCATCAAAAACAGGTCTAACCGGGGTAGTAGAACTGCTCAGTTTGATCACTGCTCGATGGGAAACATAGTGAACCTTTTCTTTCTTGTCACAGACAATAGGGTTGATTTCTTCGATAAAGTCTTCGTCTTTCCATAGTTGAAACAATTTAGCATATTCTTCAAACAGTTTATTTTCTTCCAAACGTTTAGTAGCATGATTTAAGCGTAACCTTGCAACTTCATAATTTGTAGGTAGTGGTGGGTGGTCATCTATCCAAGGAAGGGATACAACATATCTCCCATCTGCATTCCTTGTCAAACAGTTAAAGAACTTTTGCTTATCTTCTTGTTCTTGCTGTTCCACAGATATCACATCAGTTTCATCTCGAATTCCAAGTAGATCGAGATCCCAAAGCTGTGAAACCGATGCATCTTGAATAACCATAGACAGGATACACATTGATAAATTATTATCATCTCTTTCACCCATCCTCCCACATAACGTCCAACCTAACTTCGTTTCAATTGCTGTGACTTCATTGGAAAGTGTTATTTTGTTTCCCGTCAGAAGTCTCCCATAAACGTCAACACCAAGTAAGATTTCAATTGGAGGACATCCATCTCCCACATCTGACAACTTTATTTTTTTCCTGTTCAACTCTTTAACTACAATAGAGTTACTTGAAACACGTGGAATAAAGTTGCAGATCTTTTCTTCGTCACGTACTCCAATGATACATGAATATTCTTTTCCACCAATCTTGTCCAATGTCACATGATGTATATTGTGAGTAATTACTTCCGTCTGAGTGCCTCCAAAGAGTGAATGAGTAATTTTGTTTGTTCCTTTTACTTCTAGTTCTAGATCCTTAGCAGTTGATTTCAAAATGTAGGATCTTTGGGAGCCGTTGTCTAAGAATATTCTCACTGTCTTCTCCTTAGTTCCACATCTTGCTCGAACTATAAGTGTCTGTAGAGCTATTTCTTTGCTACAAATCTGATTCACACATCCGGTCATATTTTCGGCAGTGGCAGATGTAGTAGAATCTGTAACTTTATTCCCTTTTGATTTATCAGCAAGGTTAGAACACATGACAGGATAATGTTTTCCGCCACAAATGAAACAGTTGAGATTCTTCTTATTCTTGCAAAATTTAGCCGGGTGTCCACTCTTGAAGCATGGAAAAACAAACTTGTTTTTCTTTTAGTACATCTCTTTTCTTCTCAAGTGGCCATTTCTTAGCATTACTACATTCTTTGCTTTCATGACTCTTCCCACAAAATAAACAAGATTGATCTCCATCATGACAAGAAGCTAAGGTTGGGGTAGGTTGAGATAATTTGTTTTTAGCTTGAACATTTTCTTTCTTTGGCTTGATCTCCATTCCAAATCCTTTTCGAGCCAAACTAATCTTCTGTTGGATCCCTACTTCCTTATCCAGAAATTCCATGAGCAGGTCTAAGCGGTTCCTCGAAGGTGTATCTTTACTTCCATCATGGACAGCCAAAGAACTACGCTGCCATGTCAAAAGAATCTCTTCTGGTAGACTTGACTCAACTAATGGATAAAGCCATGTGGCAGGATCAGCTTTTTCAAGATTAAGTGTTTTCAGTGCTCGTAAGTGTGATTCTAGCTTAATATGTAACATTTGAAAAGGGATCTTGTCATTTGAATTCACATTGGAAATGACTAACTTTAATAATTCTCTAATGTAAACTTGAAGTAGTAAATCTTCATTCCCGTATCTTCTTTAAGAGCTTCAATTACCTTAGGATAGTTTTCATTTGACTGGGGATAGCTACTTGCTATCTCATGTGCATCGGTTCCAGGTAAAAGTGACTGAAGTAAATACTGAAACTTATCACTGCCGTGGCAAAGAACTATCTTGGTCAATTTTTTCAAATTGAGCCCAATATCCTAACCAATCCTTGAACTCTCCTGAAAATTTCTTCAACTCGATCTTGGGTAATCGAAATCCTCTTGCTCCACCTTCAGATCCAAATGTAATACTGGATGGGGGCAATACGACTGGTACCAAAGATTCTATGATTTCTTCAGCTTTAAAACAAGTTGTCATTATTTGCTGTCTCATTTCTATAATAGCTTCATATTCCGTGTCTTGATCCGTTTCGTCAACTCCATCATCCACCATCTGACCTAAAATCTTCTGGTCTAACTCTGCTAAGTTAATTTGTTCCTCATTCAGTGTCTTCAGTACAAATTGAATCCTTTCCTTCGAAATTGGTTCCACTTGGAACAGTCTGTTTAACTCAGCGATCCTCTTTTTAGCTCCATACCGAACTGGTCGTCTGGCTCTCTGAAGGGCATCCATGGTAGATACGTTTCAAAATTTCGGGGTCACCAAATATTCTTTTAGAAATACAGAGTTTAACCAACCACAATATTTCTTTCTACAAGCTTATATTTACAAAATGGATACAAGACTGAAGCTTAAAACTCGATAATTTACAACTACTTTTGGATATGACACGATTTTCAAGGGACCCTACATAAACTCTTCCAGGAACAGAGGGCTTTCCAGAATCTTGTGGGGCCAGTTTTCTAGGGACGATGCCCTCCTCTCGGTTCGCCTAGCTCTGACCTAACGGTCTGGAAAGGGCCTTCAACGCATTCGAAACCTCTAGAAAGGGACTAATCAGTCACATATACACGAATCATATGAGTTTTTATGGAATTGCTAGTCTTATTTATTTATCCATTGTTTGTTTGTTTGTTGGTTTGTTTGCTTGCTTGCTTGTTTGTTTGCTTTGTTATTTATTTATTTACTTATTGTCCTTCTTGTTCTATGTGCTCAACAGGCTTTCGCCCAATTACAGAGTGATCCGCATAATTCTTTTTAGAGTACCGTTCAAGGTTCGCCTAGTCCTATAGAGGACCTAGTGATCCAAAAAGAGTCCGCGAGCAATCTAAATTTCTAAAAAGGGCATAAGCAGTTTCTGGAAAGCACTTCTAAAGGAGTTCTATGTCCTTTTTATAGCATTGTCTGGGTTTCCAGATCCTTATAGGGATTTTTCAGGGAGTTATCACGTCTTCGAGAGGCGCGTTTCAAAACTTTAGAAAGGGCTTCTTCTAAACGAATCGTGTTTAAGGGTTTTCAAAGCCTTAATCCAGGGCATTCTATCATCTTTTCCGACCACTCAAGGCTTGCCTAGTCTCGTAGAGAATCTACTGACCCGAAAAGGGTTTACAATTCGCTAAAGTCTCTAGAAAGAGCATAAGCAGTCTCTGGAAAGCATGTAAGCGAATCGCACGTATTTCAGGGCTTTCTTTCCAGAGCCTTATAGAACTATTTCAAGAAGCTATTGCCTTTAAAGGGAAGGGCCGAATGCCCTATTCAAGTCAATCAAGGCTCACTCTCACCTACTGTTGTAGGGAATCTAGTGATCTGGAAAGGGCCTGTAAGGCACTCGAAATCTCTAAAAATCAACCTCTGGAAACCATTTCGAAACGAGTGATATGCGCATTCCAGGGGTTTCCAAATCTTTTTGGGGCTATTCAAGGGTGTTCTTGTGTCTTACTAGCCCCTTCCCTCCCGTACATTTGCATCTACACTCACCTAAAACCCTTCAATTTCATTCGAAATGCATAGCCTTTCAGAATCTCATAGCCTTTGACCAGGATGGTTTTTTATTTTTTGGTATTTAGGGGTTACCTAATCGATTTTTATTTAAAAAACTGCAAAAACTAACAAAGACCCCGTTCTGTAATCGCGTTGCAACCATATAACACGCGATAAGGATTAATTATTGATCACTATATCAATCGATACGGTAATTAAACCTATAATCTCCTCGATTAGATACCGCCCGAGTGTCAAAGCGCGCACAAACGTACCGACAATGACAATTAATTAAAGTTTCGGCAGGAATTAATTCCGGTACGCAAAATTTGCGCTTCAGCATTTCGCATATCCTTATTAACGCTTCACGCCGCCGTGATTCCACTTTCTTTTTGATCTAAGGCGTCGTCGCTTCGAAATTATTAATTTCCTTTAATCCAAACGGTAATTAGACGAGCACACGGAAACAATTTTACTTTTTTTTTCTTTATTAGAATTTTTCCAACCATAAATCTTTATGGAGTGCTAAAACGATTGCGTCACTTTGATTTAGTGGAACTTTCTCACTTGATTTCGAATCTTAATCATGCATCTTCTTGCTAATTAATTAATTAGTTGCATAAACGCCCCTTTTGAATTATAAAACCGCTTATGTGCTTAAAGATTTCAATTCAGTTACCGTCTTTTCAGATTAACTCCCTCCTCTCTCCCCAGGATTGTTTAACTTTTTTAGAACAAAACGGTAGGTATCCACATCTAAAAACAATGCTTATCGTTATACGACCTTGAAGATAACCGCTCCGCTTATCCATATTTTTGTGTAAATTGTCGAATCATTTCCCGACGTCGCAAAACCAAGATCCGTGTGTTTGAATTTGAGCAACGATAAAATTCGCTTCCCAACGTTGCCAAAATTATGCTACGCAAACGGAGAGTAGCAGATTCGAATGCTCTGGAAAAGGTTGTGAAAAGCGGTTAGGTTTTCCAGAATATTCTAATGTAGTCCAAAATCTATTGGTGCCCTTTAGCATGTTCTGTAGGACACTGGGACTTTTTCAAAAGCCACCGATTGTCTTTTCAGAAGTAGGCGGGTGTAAATTATTTTTTGGAAGATCTATAAAATTCGGGGGAGGATGTACAAAGGCACTAGGCAGATTTTTGAACACCAACTAAAAGATGCCAGAAAAAAGCCTCATAATGCTCTAGGAAGCCTTGGAATGTTATATAATGCACGTTCCAGATCATCTACCAAAGATGAAAAACGTGCCTGGGAGCTCTGGAGAGGGCTCAGAAAATACTGCAAGGTGCTAGCTAGTAGGACTGGGGCTTGTGAACAGACTTTAGAAAACTCCGGAAACAGCTTAATTCTTTTTGAGCCTACAAAGGTCCAGAAAGGGCTATGAGAGGAGAAGGATACAAATTCTAGAAACTCGTTTACATGGTACTTCCACACTCAAGTCCCTTTTAGAGTTTTCGAGAATCTCGTTGCCATTTTCAGCAATAGCTAAGGCTACGTATCTCTAGAGCAAGGCCAAATGCTCTGGAAAGCGTTTTGAAAATAGTATTATTAAATCCCTTTCTCCAGTTCTTAATCTTGGAAGACAAGGAGCGTAAACGTCTATGAAAAAAAAAGTTCTGGAAGTGGCTTAGAAACCTCTACAAAGAACATTTTCGAGATCGCCCTCTATAAGCCGTATCGGGGAAAAGGTTGAAAGCACTCCGAAAATTCGATCCCCAGCATTACAACAATTCGATTACCTTTCCTTTATGACTACCATAAGGGGTACTAAGAAAGAACTATCGAATCCCCCTTCCAAGGGGGTACTCTCTGCTTGAGGGTATTTCACACCCCCCGCCCCCAGACCTCCCGGTAATATGTTCTTTTACAAAAATTGTAGTGGTAGCACCCCCATGATAATTTTCGCGACAATATCGTGTGCAGATTAGAAAAAAGGAATATTCGATCGTGTGTCCTCAAAAAATATTTAAAAACAGAATAGAAATCTAGTCTTTAATCATGTTTGAGAGCCGAAAGTCCTTAAGAATCTCTAAAAGGATCAGCTTTCAAAAGCCTTTAACAGCTCGTGAGAATCGTAAACGAACAGTCTTTATAACGAGAGGGTTTTATGAATTTTTAAGACCTTTTAAAAGTCTAGAGGCCGGAAGGCCCTTAAAGATTTTCAAAGATTTTTAAAGACCGTAAGGGCCTTTACATATAAACCCTAGAAGTATTTGGGAATCCCAACTGTTGACGACTCATAGATCCTTAAAATGGCATTAGAATCCTTTAAAGCTCCCAGTGAGTCTGAAAGGTTCTTCAGGATTCGCATACTAGATACTCTTAAGGAACTCTTAAAAGCTTTTAAACACGTGTAAAAGGATCTAAATATCACCAGACACCATTGAAGGCTCTAGGCCAAAAAACATTTGGTGATTA